GGTTGTGGCCTTGATCCCCAGTAGCATACAAGAGGATGATCGATGTTTCTCTTTCATATTGATGTTTCTCTATCTCTCTCTCTTCTTTTTCTCTCTAAAATCAGTAAAAACATATCTTTACAAAACAACAACAACAACAGAGTCCCACCCACCACCCACAAACAGGGCCTTGGCATTCACTCTATAATGCTATTCCACACCAAGGCTTCTCCTGGCTGCCCACAGTGTGGCAATTATTCTCAAGGTGGGGGGTGGGGGAGGAGAGAGTAAGAGACTGAAGTCCAAGACAGAAATTGTAGTCTTTCACAGCCTAACCTTGTAAGTGATACAGCATCACTCCTGCCATATTCTATTCAATATTTAATCACACAGACCAGCTGTGGCACAGTGTTGGGGACAGTCACATCGTGTGAATACTGGGTGTGAACCCCAGGAAGAAGGGATTGTTAGGGGACCATCTTGAAGGCTCGCTACCACAACTACCATGGGACCTTTTTGGCCCTCACTTTCTTAAGTCCAGCCATCTTGGTGGGTTTTCCTTCTCTCCTCCTTCTCCAACTTTTCTCCTCAAAGCAGTGAACTCTTCCCCTAATCTTTATTTCTGTCTATTCCTGTAGGATAGAAACACTGACCCCAAAAAAGGCATTTCCAGAGCAATTCTCTCTCTAAGAGGAATTGTTAGCAAATGTTTTTTAAATGGCAAGTTATTTACCCTGTGTTATAGTTTATGTATGTATTTATTTATCTACTGGCCCATGATAACAAAAGGGAAAACTTTAAATAACATAAAGCACTGAATGTTTTTTAAATTCTTCTCCTAACTTTTTCCACTCCCTACCCAAGATCACAGTGCCCCTTTCCTGTGAGAAATATTTACTCCTTGGAAGCTGGTGAGTTTACTTGTCCCTGCACACATTCCCCCTCCTGTTTCCCATGCTTCATTCTGTCCGAGCTAAGGGGAAAGATGGTGTGGCTCTTAAACTGGCTGAATCTGGAGAGAGAAAGCAGAGGGGAGCTGCCCACCCATGGCAGGGGGAGACATCTGGAAGCTTTATTTGCAATAACATAAATGCAGGTGGCGGGACAGGGCTGAGTCATTTTCCTGAGATACTACTTAATGAAAATGTTGTGAGAATTAAATGGAACAACACAGATAAAGTGCTTAGAATAGCACCTGGCACCAAGTCCTAGTAAGTGCTAGATAACTGCGAACTATTGCTCTTAGATAAATAAAGCAGATGTGCATACGCTTTGATTATGAACAATTATGGGTCAGTACTAACTACAAACATAGATCCTTATAAAAGTCATTTTTCCTTCCCTACCTAAAATTACCAGTATTTCGGTGTAGATTCCAAGGAATACCTCTATTTTCTTAAAACATAAAAAAATTCCTGAAATTAAGAGTGAAAAATATATACAGCAAAAGATCATTGATCCAGAATGTCCTACCTAATTTTCATGTATGCTTATATTTTAGCCAATATTAATGGGCATCTGCCAGGTTCCAGGCACAATTCCAGGAGCCAAGCACCCAAGAATAAACATCCTAAATTCATGCCCTTGTAGAGCTTACATTCTAGTGGGTACAGGCATTCAATAAACATGAATATATGTGAGGCTAAGAAGGAAACAATGCAGTGAGGCAGAGAGACAAGCCGGTGTAGTATATTAGGTCAAGTAGTCACAAAAGGCCTTTCTAATAACCTACCCCTACATCAACTTTACTTCCAGAATTTAGACCTATTGGCTCCAAAGAGTACAATAATTAAAAAAATATATTTCCCAGGTTTAAAATGGCACATAATCTGAGAAACAAAAAAATGGTAAGAAATAAAGGTGCCAAAAAAGATATGCCTTAGAAAACTCTTTATATAATATACACATGCCATTTGAATTCACCACAGAATATATTAAAAATCTATTATCATTCTATATCCATTGAATACATCTGGGTTTACCTTAAAACAAAAAATAACACATTATTTAGTGATGGAAACAAAATGAATATGTCATTTTTCAATTCTTTCCTAGAAAATTTGGATATTCAGTGCATACTCACTTCCTTCAAAAATGACCTACACAAATAAAAATGTATGGCATAATAAAAAATATATGAAATTTTTCTTCATCAGGAAATCCTTATTGATTGCACAATGGAGTGGCATTTATCCTCAGATGGTGTTGTTATGGCATTTCTAAATGGAAGGGAAGGAGCAGGGGGGAGGCAGGGGCAACAGCTCTTTCGCAAAGAACTATCTGTGTCATTGGTTGACCCTTGCTCTGCTTTTCTTTTTCAGATTCCTCTCAACCTCTTTATCTGATGAGTCTGCTGCACAGTAGGTAATGTGCAGCATTGCTCTCTGAGATCTGGGCTCTTTGCACAAGATTAAATGCGCTCTACAGTAATTTTTGATCTGCCCATTACTGCCCACACTGAATCACCATGAGGTTGCTCTTCTGGTGGGAAAATCACCACATACCATGTGCCTTAGCAAACTGTTCTTGGTAGTGGTATTTAAAAAAAAAAAAAAAAAATGGATGAGAGCTTGAAATTTCATTGTTTGGAATTTTCCTGTGGTTCCACATCTACATAAGCAATCAGCTATACTAATATTTCTACAATGTTTTATGATTAACAAAACCCTCTCCTATGCTTTAACTCATGTAATCTCATAGCAGCCCTGTGGAAAGATGGAGGTTGGAATTTCTAGCCAATCACCAAAATCATTTCCTTTTGTTCCTGGATACATTGCTAGACTAAATTTCCAAGCATCCCTTACACTTAGGTGTGGCCATGGATAGAGCCACTTCCTGGTCCATAAAAATTCCCACAGGAGCTCCTCCACATTTTTCCTTCCTCAGCAAACCTGTGGAGATGGAGGAGCCATTACATGGAGTTTGGGTCTCTACATTTTCACACAGAGTGGAGTTACTTGAAGATTAAGATGTCCCATTTTGGAAAAAGGTTTCTATGGCATTACACTATAGATACACAGGGGTTATGTGTTACAGTTGTTAGTGTTACTTTAATAATGCATATTCAGTATTTTATTACTAACACATCAGCTTCATATATTTTTATCTCATGTGATAAAGCTGGGAGCAAGTACTATTTTTTTTACACACACCCCTTTGCAAATTGGGTGAACGAAGGCTCAGAGAGGCTAAATAATGTAACCACATAGCAGTTAAGAGTTGGAGTTAGGTATCTGATTTAGGTCTGGTGTAGGGGTGTCGAACTCAATCAGAGAAGGGGCCAAAATCTAAAATCCAGCCTAAATCGCGGGCCGAATGGTTTACTGAACAGTCATAAACTGTCATTGTGATGGAAACGCAGCGGAGTGCAGTGATGACAGCGCGGTGCGGGCCACATTGCAAGGCCTGGCGGGACGGATTTGGCCCACGGGCCTTGTGTTTGACACATGTGGTCTAGTGAGACCCAAGCCCTGTGATCTTTCCACTGAACCATGATAATTTTACAAGATGTTAACCATGATCATTTTACATTGATCTTAACTTTCTAGGTCATTCTGTAGTACTGTGTTGAGGGTAGTTCTTCAACTGCATGCATTTGTTGCTAATACTTGTCTGGGTCTGAATTGAATAATTAAATCTAGTGTGCAGTACTTGCTCCCTGCCCACGGGGCTGCATGAACAGTGTTATCCACTGGTCTTTGATAGGATGCCATCTGTCCTCTGGCTACACAGTTTCCTGGCCTTTTCCCCTGAAGTCCAACAGAAACGAGCCAGCCCTTTCAGTCTGCCCCACTTTAAAAGAAAATGTTTGATCCTTTAAATCAGGCGTCCTCAAACTTTTTAAAGTGGGGGCCAGATCACGGTCCCTCAGAGAGCTGGAGGGCCGGACTATATGAACTACTAATTCCTACTGTAACACCTCGGCTGCGCTCACTGCCCAAAAAACCTGGCGGGCCGGATCAGACTCCTCTGCGGGCCGCATGTGGCCCTCGGGCTGTAGTTTAAATAGTCATTGAGTAAAGATTCGATGCCCATTAGATATAGAGCACTGTGCATAATACTGAGGGATTTAAAAATAAATAAACAAAGCACACAGCTCAATGGCTGAGAGGATAGATTGTGATAAGTGCCTGAATTTAAATGATGGTCCCACTATTTACTAGCTGTGTGACCTTGGACAAATGACTTAACTTCTCTGTGTCTATGTTTCCTGACCTGTGCAATGGGGATAATATTAGTACCTAGTCATGAAGATGACCTGAGGAATGAATGGAACAAGGCATATAAAACATTTAGAATGGTACCTGGCACCAAGTAAGTGCTTGGTACTGTTAACTGTTATTCTCATATAAATGAAGCAGATGTACCTAAGCCTTGGCAACGAACAATTGTGTCATCCACAAACTTAGATAGTAATGAGGGTCCATTTTCCGCTTGCTATCTATAATTACCGAGATCTTATGCAATTTCCCTGAAACCATACAAATCTTTTCCCATCATGTACTAGTGATTTTCCACTCTTAAATCTTTTTTGTAATCAGGCTCTAAGGGAAGAAAAACACACAATATCCTTTTTTTTCCCCTTTCCCCAGGCACTACACTAAGCACTTTACCTCTGGGTTTCTTGTTTTGTTGTGTTGTATTTAATTCTCTCAACAACTCAATTTCCCAATTGCAGATGAAGCCACCCAGGCTTCAGAGAAGATAGTATATAAGTATCACAACTGGGATTTTAAACCTGGTCCGTCCTCTCCAAAGCTTGAGCTCCCAGCCTTTGAGCTAATCCCCCCACCGCCCAGCTCTGATTCTCTGCTCATCTGATTAAAGCCCCAGAATTTCACGACCTTCGGAGAATACAGTCTAGAAAGAAAAGATATAATTGTGTTAACCTGCCTCTGAAGCTAGGAAATGAGGGGCCTTGATATTAACAAGGCAGCGTCCCTCCAAAGTGCAGAGAACCCTTGAAAAGGGGATGTTAATCACGGGTGTCATGTTTTATGATTGTGTCTGTTTGTATTTAGTGCACTTGTTATCCTTGATGCTTTCACCCTGAGGACATCCAACTAAACAAAACTGCATACATCTTTATGGATTACCCTTTCTGCATCCGTAAGTTATCTTCCCTTTTAAAATAATTTGCACTAAAACACAAAGTGTTTTTTCTAATGGGAATAGACAGCTAGTGTTTTTTGATGCAAATGATTTCTCCCCACTTCCTTTCCAGCCCGGAGCTACATCTGCAGCAGCCAGGAGGGCTCTGTGCTTCTGAAGCAATGTCAGCAGCAGCTGGGAGCCGCTCAGTGACTTAAGCCCCTGCTTGATGTTAGGGGAGGCCCCGTGAGGCTCCCACCAGAAGAGGACGCAGTGTGATGAGCAGGCACGTTTTACGGGCACTTATAGTACTCGCCTCTCTTGGTTTTAAGAAACTAGCTACCACTCAGGCAGTTTTGTTTGTGTAAAGATTAAACAATTAAGCTTGTAAATGCCTAAGTACAATGCATTGTGTCATGGGTTTCAGTGTGTGTGGTTTTGTTGTTTTTGTTTTTTTTTTCCTGGAGGTAATATGTTGGGCTTTTACTTTTTAACTTCGGTAGTATTTCTGAACTCTATCCACAGTAAAAATCAAGAATCTAATTATAACTTATATACTTTATCCTGGCACTTAAGTGTATAACGTTATGAGTTTCTAAGTGTGTTCCTTTATTTCGCTACTTTTACCTCAATAAGGAGGCCAAATCCCAGTATAATAATAGATTTGAATATGTAAGTAGAAAAGGGGAAGGAGCACTGCACCCAAAGCTTGAGTATTGCCACCTCTGGGAGAAAAATAACTAGAGTTCTCACTATAGTCCTTTTTCACATGTAACTGATTTTGGAAAGAAAAATATGTAAGGGGTGGGGAGGACTATTAAAAGACTAATGAGATGTTTGAGAAATGAGCTCTGCAGGCAAAAGGCAGCCCACGAGAAGAATTATGCATGACCTTAGTTGTTGTTAGGATTACAATGAATAATTACAGTTCGTTCTTAGGCAGTAACTGCTCCAGTGTCACTTCCAGTAAGGTCTGGCCAGAGCACCCAGCACAGCAGGCTCCCTGCCTGCTCCCAGTCGGACAGCACAGTTTCTCGCGGTGGGAGTGGAGAGGAGTTACCCTGGGAACTCTGGCTGGGGGGGATGTTAAGTCATTTGCAAACCACTAAACGATCCGCACACTGGTGGAGCCAGGAGTCCCAGCGCAGCTTTCTCATGCATTCCGCACGCCAGCCTCCCACGCATTCCACACTGTCCTCGTGTCCACGCTGGGACCCTGCAGATCCTGCTGAGTTCCGCAACCTGGGCTACAAGACACAGACCTGCTACCTGGAAGCTGCTGCTCTGGCAGCATCTGCCCTCCTTCATTCTGGGCCCCTGGTAGCTTTCCTGGTTCTGCACCCTTGTCTCCTAAGCAAATCCCACTCTGATCTAATGCTTCTCAATGTGTGGTCTGCAGAGTGCCCACAGGATGATCACAAGGGGGAATATTGAAAAATGAAAATTCCCGACCCCTTCCCTGGACCTATTGCACTGCACCTTCAATGGGCCCTGGGAAAATGCACTGAATAAGTCACCTTCCTTAATGAATACACCCGGTTCATTATGGTACATGCTGAAGTTTGCAAACACCTTTCTGTCTCAGACTTCTCTCACTCCTGCTTTTTCTTCTCCAGCACCTCTTTGTCCATAGCTCACAAGAATCCCCAGAAAGAGCAAGAATGAAGGCTCTAATTGTCTCTGGTCCTCCCCCACAGGCCTCCTTTATGTTCCCCGTCACTCCCTAAATGCTTTCCCATGAGCAGACTCAAGGGTATTTTAAATTCCATGCTTCCCCTCTCCCACTATAAAAGCAAATGCTTGCATCTTTTAAATAATCATCCTTCTGTTCTGTCTCACTGGCCTCTCTTCTAGACCCTTTGGCATGGTGACAGTCAGAGTACAAACCCAGGCTTTCCTCTGCTTTCAGGAGGCACAGATCCCTGGAATCAGCCAATACAGCTCCCTACCAGGAGACTATGCCCACACTACTCTACCACACTTCGGGCGGGGGCCTCAACTCTCTCTGGGCCAATCCAGGGTATTTCCCCAAAGGAGGAAAGGGCTTTGTGTTAGGACCAGCACGCTAGAATACTACTTGTGTGATTGTGCCAATCTGGTATCACCTGTGGTCCTGTCTGCAGTTACACATGGACTCAAGCAGCGTAAGAAAGTTCTACTGATGGCAGTGAGAATCGTGTTCTTCTGGACTCTCAGAGCCAGCCCATGTGGGATGGACAGATGCCTTCTCCATACTGAGTCCCCAGAGAGGCTTCTATCTATATAGGTCAGGAAGAGAGAAGAGCAATCTGGCTGGCTGCATCTTCTCAAACACCCCTAAGCCCCTTGGTGACAGGGGCAATAGAAGTTCAAAGGATGGCCATCAACTTCAAGAGAAACTTTCAGCCTGCCCATGAATCATGCACTTTAAGATCAGGATTGTTCCCACTTTTCCCTTTGTTCCCAGGGTTAAGACTCCTCTGGCTCTACCAATCGCAGTCGGAGGAAAGAGCCATCTGAGATTTGGCACGTCAGGCCACCCCCAGTGCATTCCATGTATTTTTGTTGTGGTTTTTTTTTTTTTCTTTTTTTTTTTTCCCCCCTTTATGGAATAGAATCCTTACTATTTTTCATAGCAGTCCCATGAGATAAAAAGAGGAAGACTGACAAAAAGGTTGAGGGTCTGAAATTTGACCTCACATTTTATTTGAGATGAGATGAATTATGAAGGAGAGATTTTACAGTGTGCTGTTTCTGACCCAACTAGCAAATGAATATCCTCCATTCTTGCTCCCATTGCTTAAGCAAAAAACAGCTGTGTGCAGCATCTGGAAGAGTGGTTCCAACCTTGTTTTATCCTATTTGATTCCCACTGGCTTTTATGTTTTCCATAAATGATTGAAGAAAAGTTCTCAGTTGGAAATAGCAATAAAATCTTCCATAAATTCTTGGTTAGCACGAGCTGTAGCAGCTCATGGGAGTCTCCTTCTGCAGTCCCAAGGTCTAGGGAGGCTGGTCGCCTGGCTGAGGACCGAGAGCCTGGAGCCTGTCAGAGAGAAAGTTGCATGGCCGGTGTCTTCTCTCAGCCCCACGTGGTGATTACAGACTATGTGGTTTCTTCTCTGAGCCACAGTCCTTGTTATTGTCCCTTTAAATTCCTTCTTTCCATTTATTAAATCAGGAGAGTTACAATATCCCTCTAAACACTCAGGACAGTGCCAAGCACATAGTAGAGATTCATTTTTTATGTGTCACTGAAACAATTATAGCTTAAGAACTATTATTAGTCACTCATTTTATACATAATGATGAAAATAGTGAACATTTATAGAGAGACTACAATAAGCATTTTACCTATTTGTATTGTGTAGTCCTCCAAGTGTTCAGACATTGGACTCTTGAGAGCAGTAATCCTCCAGTTAGGCTTACTGCTCTAAGGTAACTATTATAATTTCGTTTTATGAAACAAACAATTTGAAGTTTTATAAATGTAAGTGGTGGATCCAGGGACTTTGCCCACAGATGGTGAAGCAGGGGCTGGCTCACCAGAACCTGTGCTCTTTCCAACATTTGACAGCCTATTGGACTTTCAGGACCCTGGGGATGCTGGAGAGACAAGGTGGAAAAGGGCTTCATTCTCATGAACTGTACATGCCACTTGCCATGACCCAATCCTTACACTGGTGGTGGGAAGGTCATTACAGGGATGTAATGAAAGAGCCATACTCAGCTGCCTTGGAGACAGTTTCCCAGTCCTCTGCTAAGGTGAGGATGGCCTACCTGAATCCTCTCCCTGAGCCACGTACCATAATACTCCAAGCTTCATTTGTACCCATTGGTAAAGCAAGCTTCTCTATCCAGACCAACTTCCAATCAAATTGTCTTGGAAAATTCATGCTTTACTTGAGCAAGAACCTTCCCAGAAAGCCTAACTGGAGGATTAGTGCTCTCAAGAGTCCAATGTCTGAACACTAGACAGAAAGGCAAAGCCAACACTCAATGAGCACTAACAAAAGTTGAGAAAATCAACCTGAAGTTGACTCAGACTCTATCCAGCCCCCAGCTCATGCTGCTCATGTGCAGCAAAAGCCACTTCGCCTTCAAAGACTGAGCAAGAGTTTCGGTCTTCTAGATCCTTCCCACCACATCCCCAGAGTCAGATTTGGTGATAATTCGACTCCAACTAATAATTGCATACGGGTATTTGGCAAATTTATGATTTCCAAAGGGCACATCAGTCGATGTTCCATAAATTTCCTAACTCCTTTTCTTTCATTAAGGAGCTATTTTTTGTCCCCAAGTGGGTCATTAGCTTTTTCCCCATTTTGATTCATTTAATTCATATTATCAACTGCTACTGAAGGTTGTCTGAACTGATAGGAAACTTCAAGCCCTTGCTTTTATCCAATCTTTCACCAGAAAAATCTTGTCAATTCTAATAGTGTTTAAAGACTATGAATTTGTTTTAAAATGTTCCAAAACTGTAATAAATGAAGGGTGTTTTGCATTTCCCATATGGTACTCTTAACATCACAACAAAATTTAGGGCCAAATTTTATCTACTTGAGGCTCTCTTAATAACCCAGTACCATGGTCCTAACTAAACCAAATCACAGTCAATCTATGCCAAATAGTTTTCTTCCCTTCTATTGCCTGTACTGTTTTCTTTCAGGCAAAGTTAAGAATGTAACTCCTGCTCTTTAGCAAAAGAGGCCACAGACTCAGGGATAGACAATCATGCTATCAGACCTGTAAACTCAGTATGAGCTTCTGGAAATGATGGAACCCAATCAGTTTAGGAACTTTTCAACTAAGCCCCTGGGTGATGAGGGTGTGTAAAGGGAAGAATTCCTGAGAAGGAAAGACAATGTTTTACATAAATGTTTTATATGATTGACTAGGAATGGCACATCTCTAAATGAGTGCTGTTTTTCAGAAAAGGAAAATGCGAAATGGAATTGAAAAGATATCTATTGTGAAATTGTTTTCCAAATGTTTCATGGCAAGTAAATCGGTGCATGTCCTCTCCTGTCAGGAAA